ACATCAAGAAAAAGGCAAAGCCATGCAAAGCAAGCTGGGGATTCAGGAAGTTGTTGAAAGTGATGGGCAGACAGAAGGCAGCACTCACTACATAAAAGGGATTGCATCATCAAAAACAAGTCTAATATGTATTCCTATTACAATGCTGATGTTGTAACTGGATAGCATATCAATTTAGACCTCCTTTAAGAACTGAACCCAGGACCCCAGCACTGCTAGGCCACAGTGTTCCCTTGCTCTGCCTTTTCAGGGGACAGTCCCTGTCTTAGTAGCAAATACTATGTCTAAATACTATGTATTATACTATGCATACAGTAAAATCTGTATGCAGCCCTGGTGAGACCTGTACGGAGCCCTGGTGACAACTGCACGCAGCCCTGGTGAGACTCAAATGCAGCCCTGGTGAGACCCAAATGCAGCCTTGTATAATTGAAGTATAATCATGGATTGATGGGATCGGTAGTCCTCTATTGATGGCTGCCATTCTCCATTGATGAATAATCATGGATTGAGTTACAATTCTTCATAATTAGAAAGAAACTGCCACAAAATCATTAGTTTGTATTGTTTTAGAAAAAAGTCACATGTTCCTTTAAGAAAAAGTATCAGTAATTGGTATCAGCAAGTACCTGAGGGAAAGTACTTGTACTGGGCATTGACAAAATGGTATCGGGTCATCCCTAGTATTCACCATTCACCCCTCTCTCATAGGTCCTCATTTACACCATTGTATTCACCCACAGAAAGCAAAACAAAGAACCCTGTGTTGTGCCACCACTTGACTGCACTGGGGGCCTCAGCAGCCAATGCCAAGCACCAGTGTTGTCAAGTTGGAATGAGTCCCATGCCCCCCATACACAGAAGTACCAGGTATTGTACCAGGTATTCTTGTCTTCACTTTCCAAAGCAAACATAGTGCTGGTACAGCAAAGGGAAGGTGAGTTTAAGCAGCTGTTGGGGCCTCAATTAAAGGAATCCAGGAGTTCTGCCCTGCATGGGCAAAGCACAGTCAGTTTAAAAAACGTATTGGCCCCTAATTTCTATGTCTGGTGCAATCACATAGTAAAGCTAAAGCATAGTTGCTGTATATTCTGTGTTTTCATCGTTTTCTCTTTGCTGGATCTTTACGGTTCCTCATAATTTGTCATATTTTCCTGTCACCACACACAAGCTGTACACATGGGAGCAGCTATATCACATGTTACTGCCTTTCAAGCACAATGGCCCATACACCTGTATTATCCAACAGAGTTTTAAATGACCTTTCAAAGCAGATATGTGGGAAGTTGGCTGCCTTGAACTCTACAGGTTATCTTTGAAGTTGGCATCTTATTAAAAATCCACGCCTTGGCCAAGTCTAGAGTCTCTTGCCACTTTTAGTCAGTGCCATGTATCTGTGATCTATTTTTCGAAGTTCAGTGTATTGGCCTTTCTTAACATGAAACATTGATACTACAAAATACCCTGCTTGTTTTCTAAGAGTCTCTTTACTGGCATGTGAGGATAACTTGTCTAATGTAATTGCAATGCCTTTGTACTATTGACAAAATCGATGTTAATTTCTCCACAAGCATAAATAGGGTCTTTGTCTCTGAGATTCTCTCATATGTAAGTAGCAGAGGACCCATTCATCATTGTTCTGTGCACCTGTTACCAGTGTGCATTTACAGTTCCTACACTGAAACCCAACAACGGGCGACCTTTGTCATTACACTGGTACTGGTGTATTATACAGTATACTGAAAAAGTACGCGCCTTTCTCCATTGATTCTTATAGTGCAGTTGGATGTATTATGTTACTTTCATTGTAAGATCCCAACCAGCAATGTATTCATTTAAATTAATTTAAAAGTTTTCAAAATGAATGCAGAATATTAGAACCCTTAGAAACTTACATAAAGATCAGAATGCCCAAAGACATATAACAGTAGCAGTTCCGAGAGGCAGCGCCTCCAACGTTTGATCTATTCAGTCTCTATAACAACTCTCATACACATATTGTATACTGGGAACAGATGGGTAGATGAAATTGCAAGGTGGCAAATGGGCATGAGTGCAATTGATTGAGCTGTGACATTTCTGATTTTACTGTTTGGAAGTGGAAAGTCACTATTTCACTTACTGCGCTGCTTAAACAAAATTTGCGTTTTACAAAATGTTTTCCTCAAGAGGAAATTTTTTTGAGTTTTCTGAGAGTTTATTGAGAGAACCTTCGGTGAACAGTCACAAAAGACCAATGAACATTATACAAAATATAAGTAGAGCTATGGGTTTCAGGCCAGTAATGTTCACAATATGCGCGTTCTGCCCAGCGCGACTGGGGTGCCATTAGAAAATAATGGCACCCACAAGGTGATCGGTTCACACCTTGGTGACTCCTGACCGCACGGCAATCCACGTGGAATCGTGCACAATTGCCGCGCGGTGAGGTGTCGCCTAGGTGTGCACTGGCCCTAAAGGTGGGGGGGAGAAGAGAGAGTGGGACATCTGTGCTGTAGTACAGTAAGAATACAAGGTGTGAGGGGGAAGCACATAGGTGTGCAGGGAACATGCGCCTAACCCAACATTAGGGTCAAGGAGATATGGCACCAGCAAGTTCAAATGTCTAAGATATATACCAAAGGTCCCAACTCATTCCCAATTCCAGTACAACAGCATAGAGGTCAACCAGCATCACCTCATTTGTGAAAGTCACTGCTTATATATATATATATATATATATACATATATATATCTACACATCCATCCAAGGGCCACAGGTGGCATTATACTGCTCATGTGTGTCATGTAGATTGGCAATTACATTCTCCATTCTCATTAGACTGCATAACTCTTGAACCCTGTCCATTATTCAAGGAACAAAAGGAAGAGCCCCAATGTCTTGAAAAAAAGTGCACACATGGCTGCTATAAAACAAAAATCACAGGCACACATAGTATCTTCTTATGGTATCTTCTGGGCCCAATCAAATCTTTATCCCATTCTAAGCACTGATGAAGGGGAAGTGTTGTTGTGTGTTGACCGCAACATGTGGGCTGTTTTTGCTTGATCGAATTGTGAATTAAAGGTACTTTTAAACTCTTTCAACTTTTGACTTGAAACCCTTAAGTCAGAGGAGTAAAGACTGTCTGTTGCTTTTGGCCCAAATGGTAGTTTCTCACAAACGTTTTTCCAAAAGCAAATACATGCACAACAACTAATATACCTATATTCCATAATCAGAGGTGTATAAAGATAAATAAATCATTACATTCAAAGCCTGCCACTTCAAAGAAGACAGAATCCCACTGAAAGCTTTATTTAACAAAGCAACCATAGAACATAGATGGAGGGTGCAGAGTAAGACCTCGGAATGATGGACAACAATCAACTCGCTCATGCAATGGGTAACAGGAGACAGTAAACTGGCACTAATAGAGGCATAACCTTTTCAAATTAGAAAGACCAGGTCTAAGCCAACCCTCTCAACAGGTCACTTTGTAATAATGAGCTACTTCTCTGTATTATTTCCTGAAACACAAAGCCAGCATTAAGCAAATGACCCAAGACTCTACAGTACAAAGTGTCTAATGTATCAGTTACTAGTCCAGCCAAATACACGTTGGCTGCCACCCCTCATTCTGTGCATTGTTCACAAATTGATAGTGACAAGTTAAAATAGTACATGAACAGAGACATCAGCTATCACCAGCAAAGATTCTTTGCCATAAAGTCCAAATGTTGCAATGTTTACATGTCAATCACAAAAGAAATCTGTCTTTAAGAGTTTGGGATCAAAGGATTAAAGAGGGGGATCTGGCAAAAAAACTCAGAAGATCTCTAACGTTTCCCCATCGCAGGATCCTAAACAATTATCTGTTTCTGAAATGTTGTCCAGCTACATTATTGACTTTGGTTATCAGTGCTGGCAGTTTTAAGCTGAAAACTACCAGTGCTAGGCTAAGAAGTGATGTTTTTTACTGATCTAGATAACAGCATACAGGGCCGTCCCCATAATGAGGCACCCTGAAGCTCTTTGGGTCGTGTGTGGGAAGCAGCAGGCAGAGCGACATGGCCCCACTGCTGCACAATGTCTGCAGTGTGCCTGACGCCCCTTTTCCAGCCAGAGCACCCCAGGTTGCTAAGAGCCAGGCGGGGAGATGTGTAAGGGCCATACACATCTCCCCACCCAGCTCTTGGCATTCTGGGACACTCAGCTCCTGGCAACCAGTGACGTCACCTAAACACAGGTAAACGCACAGTGTGAATTATACCTTTTAAAATGATTATCACTTGTTATCTCTTGTCTTGACTTTTGTAACTCCCTCCTCATTGGCCTACCACTGCATAGGCTATCCCCTCTTCAGTCTATCATGAATGCTGCTGCTAGGCTCATCCACCTAACCAACCGCTCAGTATCTGCAACCCCCCTCTGCCAATCCCTCCACTGGCTTCCAATCTTATCACCCTAACCGTTTTCCCCGCTTCTCCCAAGATCTCCCGCTCTCTAGCTCCCCCGTCAACTCCTCCCATTCTCACCTCCAGGACTTCTCTAGAGTCTCTCTCATTCTTTGGAACTCATTACCCCAACCTGTCTGTCTATCTCCTACTCTGACTGCCTTTGGGCGATCCCTTAGGACTCATCTCTTCAGGGAAGCCTATCCCACCTCAACCTGACCACTCAACCACCACGTTCTCAAACAATTCATCCCCACACAGCTATCTCCTCATGTATCACTTACCTCTCCCTCTTAGATTGTAAGCTCTCACGGGCTCTTCATCTTGAATTGTATTGTAATTGTAATGTCATCCCTATTTTGTATTTTGTAAAGTGCTGCACAAACTGTTGGCACTATATCAATCCTGTAGAATAATAATAATAATTACATTATTTATATTTGTTTACAAATGTCTTATAAACACATGTAAACACAGGCCGTGTGAATGAGGCCTTATAGTTAGTAGTAGTAGTAGTAGTAGGAGCATTAACATGTTTCCATTTATACATGTTTTTCTTTCAGAAAAGCCTGGCTGAGCAAAGTGGGCAGTCCTAGTTCCCGGATTGATCGAACCGTATTTTCTGATGAAAAGGAGATCTCTAAACTTCAGTACAATGGATTCAGCACCAGATACTGAAGCAATGCCGTATACAACTGCTGGATAATGACTAGCAAATTGCTGCTGATCTATATAAAACATGATATTGAGGATCCCTGAATAACAGACTGAAAATTGACTCAACAGTTGATGTTTGTCTAGTTATGACCCATATTTCATAGCAAGTATTACCCTAGATTCCAATGTCTGACATGTTTTGAATAATCTAATTGTTCTAATAAAAGCATAATGCTGCATTGGTATGGTTAGACTAGAGTTATGTACCAAAGTAGGACAAAAGTTCACAGTGTTCCTGAGATAGACTAAATGCCAACGTTAGACTGAAAAATGTGTGAATTGTAAATGCCGGGTATAATGTCTCTTTAGGAAAATGTTTAATGCACACAGTGTTATATTTAACAGATGGTGTCAGAAAGAAGATGCAGTTTTTATTCAACAGATTGCATAGAGCCTAGCTCCAGGCAGGAGGACAGTTTCATGTATATCATTAGTAGTGAGGATTAGGCAGACCCTCACAGGTCCGATTGTCCAGGCTGCCTCCAGCATCCTCAAAATGGGTTTCTTCTCTCACCCGATTTGAACTGCTCCTTCTGTACTTAAAGGCTGCTCGGGAGTCCAGTGCTGTGGGTCTCATAAACCTCAGTGCCGTGGTCACATCCTCGACCCCCTCTCCTCATGGCCTATCAAAAATCAAACAGCCCCAGGCTCCATTTTGTGATTGACCAGTAGAACAAGGGTGCGAGGATAAGACCCACAGCACCTGCCTTCCCAAGCGGCCTGGAAATACAGTGAGCTGTAATAACTGGATGAGAGAAGAAACTCATTTTGAGGATGACGGGGGCAGCCTGGATGATCGGACCTGTGAAGGTCTGTCTAATCCCCACTACTAATGGTATATCTGAGACTGTCATATGGCCGAGAAATTAATATTAAAGGGAACCATGCAAGGTAAAGCAACTAAATGCCACCGCTCCTTGTCTACACTCACTTACCTTTTGCTCCCCTGGGACTCTTTCCATTCACTGGATAAAGGAGCACAGTGTAAAGCTGGCAAAACAATGTTGGAATTTAGTTTGAATGTTTGTTCAAAATCATTGGTCAGAGCATTCTATTTTGTTATCATTGATTAAACTAATTTAATTGAAGAGTTCCTTTGTGCCCAGCACATGCTCATTTCAATATTTACAATTTTTACCCTAATGAAAATAACATTCAAGGTTAGAATTTCAAATGTTCAGATGATAAACATTTTCCTTCTTTCTCCCTCGATTTTTCTCATCACAATGGTCAAAAATGGACATCTATCAGTCCCCACTAACTATTACAAAAGTGAATGAACATTCGGGAAATTACATTTTTCTAACAAAATTCTAATGGTGTATAGCCAGCTTTAGATACAACTCAATCTAGTCGAGCTTGAAACAGGAACGGAATGCAGACACTCTCAGGTTCCTTTACATACCTTTCAACCTCTTACCAGGCTTCAGAGGACCCCTGAATCCTGGGCTGCTCTAATATGCCAATACTAAGCTGGAACTTAGTATTGGCATATTAGATTCACTAGCTGGTCTGCCCTATTCTGCACCTTCTGCCTTAGTATTGATCCTTGTGATGGGCAGGCTTAGTAACCGATAGTGAGGGAAAATAAATGGGTTTGGGCAGGGTAATAACTTTTCTTCTTAAAGCCAATATTTGTATATTGAAGTGTCCTAGACTTTGGTTGCCCTGGGTTGCTTGAGAAGAATTTGGCAGAGGGAAAGATGCCCTTTAACAGGCCTGAACTGACAATCTGTTGTGACCCCTACCACCTTCTGTGGAGTGGCTACTAGAAATGTAGCTGTGCTAATGCTGTTATCAGTTTGGCTGAGTTATATTTGGGTATTATCTGGTTAATTTCAGGTGTTCTGTCATTGATTGTGCATGCCTGAGTGGGGTGTGACCCTGCTGCAGTGTGTGGCAGCCAATGAGGGAACATATTGGGTGTCTGTGTCTCACCAGCCAATCACTGGGAGTTTTGTGACTGGTGGTGCATGCTTGGGGAGTGCATATACACTTAGGGGAATCACCATGTGCTCAGTCCAGTCTGCCCCAAGACTTAGCCTGGAGGTGGGATGCTCAGAGATGGAAATGTTAACTAGGCCTCAAGTCTGCAGGAGGTCACACATGTGGACACTGGAGGGGTCAGGAACTGATTGAGGAAGAGAACCAGAGAAGCTGGATGGCTACTGGAGGTGCCTGGTACTGATATGGACCTCAGGAGCAAGTCTGGTGTTTCTCCTGTGGAAGATCTCATGCTGTTCAGCTGTTGCTCTATTGCCCAGTGTCGGCCTGTTCTCCTATTGATTCTGCAATGTGGAAGACTGAAAGGGATTGGGGAGTCTGGAGTCGGTTTCATTTTTGCTATGGATGTCTTAAGCCCTATACCCTTTCTCCCAGAACGAAGTTATTTAATAAAGCATTTAAAAAGGCACTTAAAGTGACTGGCACCCAACTTCTTGATCACCAGTCCTCTCTGCCCTTTGGGGTCCATCTGAGGCTTCAGGGGGGCACTACACTGTCAACTATGGAAAATGCTGGAAGTGATAGAATATCTGAGAGTAGCTGTGGCTCCAGTGAGCAACAAACCTTCTACTCCTGTTTGAACAACGCATCGGAACCTCACATACCTGGGTCCCTAACACTTGTAACAATAATGTTACTGGGCCCTTTAAAGAAAAACATATACATTAGGTCTGATTAAAACCCATAGCAATCTTCCTAAAACGTTTTGCATACACAATGTACATTATATTACATATGATACAGACACAAAGAAAGGCTTGCAGTGCAGTCAATAGAACCCCAGCACAATGCCCCTATAACTTAGGTTAGTGAAATGTTATAGTCTCCAGCAAGTATGACCCATACTTATATAAGTGGATATCTACACAAACATCCCAGTGCAGGTGACGCTTCCTATGAGCTGCTGTGGCCTCTGCATCTTTCCCTCCGCCAATAGAAGCCAACTGAACGTTGGGCTTTTGCAAGCTAATCTCCTCTCAGAGTCATGTGAAATCAGGTTGTGCACCTGAGCCTCTGCATCTATCCCCCTACAAAACTGCATCTTTTGAAATAGAAAGCAGTACAACATGATCATATGACCTGATTTAGAAGATGACGTTATGGTACTTTTGCAATTTATTTTTAAAAGTAAAGGTTGTTATGCATGCATAAATAAGGCCCCTTTCCCAGGGCGGTCCGATCAGGTTCACCTGCCTGCTTTACATGTTGATCTGATCGGAAGCTCAATGTCAGTCTATGGCGGACTGTGACTGTGAGTGGCTATGTGTACATTTACATTCGATTACCTCTGAGTCTGTCTAGGTCTGAAAAGAAAAAAAATGGAACAGAGTTAGGTTTTGGCGGACCTGGACGGGACAGATCAGAGATAATCGGATGTAAACGGACACATGTCCACTTATGTCTTTATTGTGGGGGTCTGACTTTCTCTCTAGCCAACTATCAAACTGGTCAACACACACACTCTTAAGGTGACAGTTAAATCTTAAAAATGCATTCAAGTACCTTAAAGTAGAGATAAATACTTTTTTTTGCATATATCTACTAGTTGCAAGCATTAGATATATGCAAAAATATTTTTTAAAAATAAAAAAAAAGTTACCAAAAAGGTAAAAACGTACCTGTGTCTCCGCCGCTCGCCCCGTCGGAAGATCTGAAGCTTCATCCTGCACGGCCGCTCGAGATGGGACAGGTGCATGTGCAGTAGAGATCTTAATCGGACAGAAATCGTGTGGCAGAAAGAGACAGGAGTCTGCGCTGGATCAGAGAGCGGCACCTGCGCTGGAGGGATTGCTGAATACAAGTAGAAGGAAGATGATCGGATCAAGAGGCATCATTTAAGGTAAGTCCTTAGAGCAGCATGGGGGGAGGCAGGAAAACATTTGTGACTTTAATGTCACTTTATTAACAAAAATGTATCTTATTTGTGTATCACTAAGCTGTAGATCCTCAAATCATCTCTGAATTGGTGCCGACACTGTCCTTCCTTCTGGAGGGTGGCTACTTTTGTTCCCCATGATCCATGTGTGGGTTGTAAAGTAGCCACTGTTCCAAACTCATTCCCGTGATAGACTACAATTTCTATACCAGTAATCAAACTAAACATGATATTGTAGTCCATCATGGGAGTTAGTTTGGAGTTAGTGGCTACTTTACAACACACACAGGAACCATGGGGAGCAAAAGTAGCCACCCTCAAGAAGGAAGGACAGTGTGAGCACCAATTCAGAGATGATTTGAGGATCTACAGCCGAGTGATACACAAAAAAAAAAAATATGCTACATTTTTGTTAATAGCTAGTGTACTTGAATAGATTTTTAAGATTTGACTCCTGAGTTTAGTGTCACTTTAAGGGTGTATTTATAAACAATTCGCAAAGCCATTTGCCTTGTGAATCTCGGTGAACATGTGCTCGGTGCGAAAAGAGGCAAATGCTCTTAGTATATTTTCTTTTCAGTTCAAACGTAATGAAGTGTATTACTGCTTTATTACCACTAGATGGAGCAAAAGAAAGAAGTATTTATTTTGTATGCTCCATCTAGTGGCCATAATGCTGTATTATGTTACATTTGACCTAAATACACTAAGAATGTTTGATTTTGCCTCTGCACAGAGTAAACATTCACAGAGATTCAAAGGGAAACAACTCTGTGAACTGTCTATAAAATGACCTCTAAATAGAGTGTATGTATAGTCAACATTATATTTTTTTTAGTTTTTGGATAGCATTCGGGCTGGAGTACCCCTGCCAAGTTTATATTGCGGTCTGTGTCGCTACTAGGTAGATTCACCTTTTCTTTTTGTCATAAAATTATTAAAAATCCAACATTTTACAGTTGCCACCAGTACAAGAATAGAAAGGAAATCATCCAGTGAGGGCACCTGTTCACCCAGTGACAGCTAATAGGGAAAAACTAGAAACTTTACAAACTAAAAATAGATGTAAAGATGTCACAATGTAAAAGCATTTACTGTATATATATATAATTAAATCGCGTTGTTTACCCATATCTTCAGAAACAAATCACTTCTACTGTCGTGGTAAACAACCTGCTTCCCTATTTATAATGGTCTGGCCCTCTAGCAACTTAAGCGCGAAATTATAGCTCATTTGCCTACAAACGTCAGGTGGTCATAATAATCTAGCCACTCAGTGTATATATATATATTACAAGAAGGAATCAAATAGTCTACAACACAGCTGATTGCTTTTATTACTACAACTAGCTTGCAGCTCAGGAAAGTCAAATCAAAAGTCTTTGTGTGCATGCTTGTTTCATTGTAGTGACTAAAGGTGCCCCTACACCTTACAATTATCTGCAGATTTTCTGTGGGCAGGTGGAAAAAGTGCAACAGATTGGCCCAGGTGGAGATTAATCCATGCACACAGTTCAGCGTAGATGGAGGAATCTGTTGCACCTTTTCCATCTGACCACAGAAAATCTGCAATTAATTGTAAGGTGTATGGCCAGGTTTAAGGTCCCCACACACCTTACGATAATCTTAGGATAATCGCGGGAAATCCCGCGATCGTACGATTATCGTAAGGTGTGTGGAAGCCGTGCAACCTCTACTACTGTAAGGTCGCACGACTTTAAACTTACGGACATGTTCGAAAACCCGCCGAGCATCGTACGATGTTCGGCGGGTTTGTGGCATGTCCGTACGATAAAAGCCATACGGGCCGGTGTGCGCAAGCGCACACTGCCCGTTCGGCATTGCAGTCACCGGAAGCCCGCCACTCAGGGGGCGTGGCTTGCGATCATCGCAAGTACGATCTGCCTATGCAAGATAGGCAGATCGTACGTTTTTTTAAGTACCTTACAACCATCGCAAGACAAAAGTCTTGCGATGGTTGTAAGGTGTGTGCCCAGCCTTAGAGTATTGAAGCAAGGAGGTCAAGATGACAGTCAGTCAAGCAAGCAGCATTTGCAGAAGAATTGGAGGAATGGACGTATAGGAAGAATGACGAATGGAAGCCTCTATGTTTCTTTCAAGACAGGCTTAGTGTAAAAATATTTCAATAGTAAACCTGTATGAATACAGTGACTTGTCAGACATCCAAGAAAAGTAGCCGAAAATATAGCCATTCCTTCTAATGTGTACCTTACAAAATGCTGGATGATACAGCACATATAATGAATTTAGGCAATCAGCACTCCAGCATTCAGGCTGAGGATTAGCGCTGACAAATGCTGCATTTAGCCCTATTCATTCGCTCCATCATTCATTGTTATGAAGGCACATTAGTCACTAGTCATCAGTTTGTTTTTAAAGTGTCAGCAAACTATAGCGGTCTTTTACATCCACAGTGTGATATATTGGTCGGGTTTTTTCAGTGGCATCTGCAGAATCCCCATCTGAGATTTTGGAAGCAGGACTCAGCTACGGAGAGCAGATGAGCATATGTGGTTTTCATTCAGGGAAACTCCATTCAACCCAAAATTGAATGTTAAAATCATAGGTCATTTTGAACAACATTCGCCAAGTCTCTGGTGGCATTATCGAATGTTCTGGTGAGATTTTCTGTATGAACAATCATATGAAACTCTACCAATATGTGGCCAGCTTACCGTATATACTCGAGTATAAGCCGAGATTTCCAGCCCATTTTTTTGGCTGAAAAGTGCCCCCCTCGGCTTATACTTGAGTCAGCGTCAGTGGTGTCTTCTTACTTACCTCGCCGAGTGTCGCGTCAAATTTCCCACCCTAGGCTTATATTCAGGTCAATACTTTTTCCCAGTTTTTTGTGGTAAAATTAGGTACCTCGGCTTATATTCGGGACGGCTTATACTCGAGTATATACGGTAAGTCTTTACTAGGACTGCCTTCTTCTTATCTTTGGAAATCTGAACAGGGGAATGGGGTGTGGTAACCCTCTTGCTTTGCATGCTGTTGCAAGAAGCAGGCGTGGTTTACAGAAGATAGGCATGGCTAAAAAGGTACGCCTAAGCCATCATGCAGAATGTTGGATTAAAGTGCATTTGCACCTGTGCAGCCAAATTTGAGAAATCCCCACCTTATGTTCCCATTCGATGTTCTGACTGCATGCACCTTGCAGCACTGTTGGAGCTGGCAATCGGTTGTGGCACATTGCATTGGGACTAGGTGGCTAGGCTGTGGCACATTGCATCTGGATTGGGCTGTGGCACATTTCTTTGAGAGTGGGTGGTTGGGCTGTGGCACATTACCCTGGAACAGGGTGGGTGGGCTGCGGCACATTGCAATGAGACTGGGTGGGTGGGCTGTGACAGGTTGCAATGGGCCTGGACGGGTGGGCTTGTGACACAGTGCATTGGGTCTGTGTGGATTGTCTGTGGGACTGGGTGGGTGGGCTGTGGCTCATCGCATTCAGACTGGGTTGGCTGTGGTACATTACATTGGGATTGGTAGGGTGTGCTGTAGCACATTCCATTGGGACTGGGTGGGTTGTGGCATTTTGTATTGGGACTGGATGGTTGGGCAGTGGGCACGTTGCTTTGGGTCCGGGGGTGGGCTGTAGCATGTTGAATTGGGACTGGTAGGGCGGGCTGTTGCATGTTGCATTGATACAAGGTTGTGGCATGTTGCATTGGGGCTGGGTGTTTGGGCTGTGGCACACTGAATTGGGCCTAGGTAGGAGGGCTGTGGCACGTTGCATTAGGACTGGGTGGGTTGTGGAACTTCACATTGGCACTGGCAGGGTACGCTGTGGCACATTGCATTGGGACTGGGTGGGTGTACTGTGACACATAGCATCTGAGATTTTGGAAGCAGGACTGAGCTATGGAGAGCAGAGGAACATATCGCTATCCTATACTGCAGTGTTTTCCTGATGTAAAACCATCTCTAACAATTCTATAATCTGGAGCTACAGCCGGCCATACACCAGTAGAACTTCATTTGAAATTTGTAATATTCATTTCATTTTCTAGGTGATGGGGTAAATGTGGTCAAATGTGTTCAATGTATTTGTTACTGAAGACTGGCGCAAATACGGTGCAACATAAAAATAATTGCAGCTCCCATTTTTAGTGTATGGGTCCTCTGCTTATGGAAAACAGAGGGGAATTTACCAAAACCGAAGCAACCCATCAGCTTTTATCTTTCATTTTCAAAGTTTAACCTGAACAAACTAAAGATGGAAGCTGATTGGTTACTATAGGCAACTGCTCCAGATTCTGTTTGCTCCCATTTTGATACCACTTGAAGAAAAGGTGGCAACCCTACCTCCTATACATTTTGATTTGTATTGTAATTGTAATGTCTTCCTTATATTGTAAAGTGCTGCACAAACTGTTGGCACCATATAAATCCTGTATAATAATATTAATAAAAATGAAAAATAATTTGCATTTCAGCACGTGTGTGGAAAGATTCAAACAAAAACTGCTTTGGCAGTGAAAAGGGTTAATATCACATTTCTGAGAAACCTGCCATACCTGAAACTGTCCCTGCAAATGAGCCATCAAGTGTCACTCTCACTGCCTTCCACATGTATCCTGATCGCTGACTCTCAATTCTTTTCCTGAGCAATAAATAATGACAAATATGACACTATACACAATGTATATACTGCCTCATCTATATAATAGGAGTTCCTAAATCTCCTCCAGACTATCTAATGACACAGTCCCAGAGCAAGCTCTCCAGAGTCACAGGGACGGGCTGTGCGCATGTGCAGACAATGGTTGCCAGGAAACAGCTGTGTATCATTGTAGCAATGAAACTCCAGGGATCTTTTTGCTGTGATTTCCCCGGAGTGCAGCACCATGTACCAAACCATGGAGATCTATATGGCCAGGAAGAAGAAAGTGCCAGATCGCATCTTGTAAGTGTTGTTGTTTCACTTCTCTTTACTCTCTTAACTAAGAAGTTCTTTAGATTGCAAGCTTTGATGAGCAGGACACTTCTAAATTTGGCCATACATGGAGGCAAATTTACAAAACCTGGAGCAGACAGAATCTGGAGCAGCTTTGCATAGTAACCAATCAGCTTCTGTCTTTCATTTCAAAGTTTAACTGAACAAACAGGAGAGTAGCTGATTGGTTGCTATGGGCAACTGCTCAAGATTCTGGCTGCTTCCCCTTCCCATGGATCAGATATTAGCTGGTTTCGGATGAACCTGGCCATTTGGCACCTCCTGCTCAGCAATCAACTTTTGTCAATGGAGCTGGCCTGAAAATTTTCCACCAATCAGATGGTGCCGCTGTTTCGGTATTTAGTTAGCAACTGCTTTTGAATGCAATTTTGATTTTAGCTCAACCAAAAGTGGTTGGAATTGCCAGAAAGTTGCCGCGTGTATGACCAGCTTAAACTGTATTTATTATTTAGTTTCAGATAAGTTGGGAAAGAAAAGACTCTGGATTTCTGCCATACTGACACGCAGGGTGTCACTGGGACAGGAAGCGAAGGAGTCATCTCCTAAAGACACAGACATTAGTTAATACTTGGCAGCAGTGGCAGCCCTAGACTTTTTGCCACCTAAGGTGGCGGTGCACGAGAGTGACGCCTCCCTCAGCAGACCTGGGACACTTTGGCTGGCATCCCGTCCAGCTCCTAGCAACCAGTGACAACACTGGTTGCCAAGAGCAGGCCAGGACGCCGGCCAGAGCTTCCCAGGTTGCTAAGAGCTGGGCGGGAAGATGTGTATGGCCCTTACACATCTCCCCACATGGCTCCTAGCAACCTGACAGTCCTGCTTTTCATGTGTTGAGATGTGCTGCCAGCCCATTCAAAATTAATTGGCTGCCTTAAAGTAGTGGTAAGGTCTGGACGTTTTTTACTCTGATGCATTCTCTGCATTAAGGTAAAAAAGTACCTTTTGGACTCCCCTGTCCCCGTGCCCCCACACTTACCATTCAGCATCGCATGTCTCCACCGCCGGTCCCCGCAGTGATCCTCTGTCCTGAACTTACTGGTTCTGGGGAGGAGATTGAGGGCAGAGGGGCCATAGGCTCCTTCTACCGTCATTACAATTGTGATTGGGAGAGGAGGGGCATTGCCTGCTGCAGAGCAGTGTGTGTCTATGGACGCTCACAGCCACTGCAGGAACATGCACGGGTGCCTCCATAGCAGCTGCCTACCTGCTGGAGGTACCCGTGCAGGGGGCGGGGAAGACACTGATGCGGGGACCCACTAGAAAACAAGGAATTGAAACATTTAGAAAGAAATCACTTTAATGCAGCACATTAACATGTTTAATAACACACTGTAACAAGCCTGCGGTAATGCATTAAACAGGGCAGAACTATGGGCATTGTTAAAGATAACACATGTGATGTTGTTTTCACTGGCATTACCACAACAGTTTTTGTTTTTCTCCCCTTCCTCTGTATTATAGTTTTATTACCTGTTGATTCTGACTTCAGATCCATTATACTTCCACTTCATTTGACAGAACACTGTTCATTCTGCAGTGAAATGGCACAGCAGTGTTGTCACCCTGTGGACAGGGTAGTCTTAGATAGACATGTAGTTTTAGGTTGACTTTAAAGCAGAACTCCAGACAAAAATAAAAAGATACCTGATTAAATGAAAGAATAAATAAATATAGAATTACAAAACCAGCTTTTGCTGCAATACTCACCTTCAATCCAGAGATTCCCCCACTGTACGATTACTCTGCCACTAGATGTCCTTTGTCTGATGGCCAGCATTATTCAACCTACTTCTTCTGAGCCCAGACTGTCCTGAATCCGTCCTAGCCTGTGACTGGACAGTAAAAGGAGAAGCAGCACAATGAACAGCTTGTCTCTCTCTGTCACCCTGCTTTTTCTTCCTATCAGCATGTTCCTGGTCAGCACATAAACTGATTGGATGCTCTTGCTGCTTCTCCCTCTCACACTCCAGCCCTGTTGTACACTAATTGGTGCGGTGGCAGCCTATTCAAGCAATTGTTCAAAGCAACACACATTACATAATAAGTGCACTTTAAGATAAGGTGCACTTATTTGCACCCCTCCCTTAACCTAACAGATCCCATATTTCTCCAGCACAGATGCATATTTTTCAAGATTCGGTGTCCAGGGCCTCCCATGTTCATTTACACGCCGTGCCAATGTCCTCCCTCTGCTGGTCGCATAGAGCCCCAACCCCATACACTTAAGTGGTTCTCGTCTATCTTCATCTCCGAGCTGGGATGATTTCTGGCAAAATCCTCTGGTAGGAATAGCGAGGAGGGACCCCATGTAAAAAAAAAAAAGTGTGTGGGGTGCCCCCTTAAAGTCATACCAGGCCCTTAAGGTCTGGTAGGAATTTTAAGGAGGAACCCTACCCCCCAAAATGGGGGGGGGGGACCTGGCGTCCCCTTACATCATGACTTTGCCCAATCATGGCTCCAAATGAGTACTAAGCCCTGATTGGGCAAAGCCTTGCACCTGGCCTGTGGTCAGGTGCAAGTCCTTAACCAATTAGAGCTTCGGAGGGCTCTTTGCAGTATAGGACGTTGTGTGGTCGAACAGACCGCGAACATCCCATAAAGTTCGGCGAATGCTCGAATGGCCGATGTTTCCATTCAAACTCATGTTCGAATCAAACCGGCGGAACATCCCTAATAATGAACAGATATAACAGAAAAATGTTCAATCATATGAATCAAACATAAGGGGTGCAAATGATCCATACCACAAATGATCCAAAAAATTCTGTTTTATTCAGTCAATTGGCATAATATTAAAAACCATGATATGAAAAACACACAATTAAAATAACGCTCGCATGTGTTTGTTATACCAAGATTTTTTATATTATGCCATTGACTGAATAAAACAGCATTTTTGGATAATTTGTGGCATGTAATACATATGGTCAGAGGCGGCTCTTTAATTAGGCCAATTAGGCGGTCGCCTAAGGCCTCGTGCTCCCAAGGGCCTCAGGGCTGCCTAATTTGCCCGGCCGGCACATTACCTCACAGTCGCAGCCAGGTAACGTATGAGCTCTCAGCCCTGTCGCTGTCAAACCAAGAGGTCATCCGTTTCCTCCGTCCTTCCACTCGGCCTTCTGGAGCTCCACCCACCAGCCAATGAGGAGAGACATTACCCCTCCCATCCAATGAGGATCTCAACCTGGCAGGGAGGGCAGGGTAACGTCAGAGGCGGCTCGGGACGTCGGCACCTGGTCCTACCCGTTCCCGCACGCAAGACGCGGCCCGCACAGTCCTGGTGAGAGGCGGCCTGCACATGCTGTTGAGACCCCACAGAGCTCTGGTGAGACCCTACAGACCCGTGGTGAGAACCTACAGCCGGAGTGGGGCCTCATGTTTAGGTTTTGCCTAAGGCCTCGCAAACTTCAAAGTGAGGGAAGTGTGTTGAGTCCTAATCAGGATGTTTTTTTCTTTGTTTACTGTTAATGGCTTACCAGGGACTTCTTACCCCCAAGATTTTCTCTGTAGGGGAATCATAATTAAGGGTTTTCGTGGAGTCTAATTTGTACTGTTCAATGCTAGATGACCTGTGCTCGTAACCTGCATCTTATAGTAAACTCCCCATTATCCGACATTCAAGCAACCGCCATACAAATTTGAGGACATAATTTATTCTTGTTTTTTTGTAGTTGCTTGATAGACATGGGGACACTAATTTTTTTTTTGTTAGCAACTAAAAGTTACTATTAGCCGTCAAGCAACCAGAAACTACAGTTATCCGGCATCTACCGATCCCCGTGGGTGCCAGATAACTTGGGAGTTTACTGTATGTGTTGCCCACTTCTGATCCTACTTGTACCTGATGGGTTTTTAAATGAAACCTGCTTTTTATGGTGCCTTACTGTAGCTCAATGAGCCTTTAGGCCCCATTCACACTGAGCGACATGAAAAAACTGCGCGATTTTGCGCGACGAGCGATATTGAGCGACTTGTCGCGCGACTTTTTCCTATTGGGCTGTATGCAATCAGGAGGAAAATCGCTCGAAATTGCTCGAAAAAAGGGTCATGTAGGAGCGACAAGCTACCAGTGACGAGCTACATGCGATATTGAGCGATATTGAGCGACGAGATGTGAACAGCTCCATTGAAATGGATTGGAGAAGCTACGTAGAGCGATATTGCGTGGAAATATGAGCGATATCGCTGCAAAAATCGCGCAATAAATTGCTCAGTGTGAATGGGGCCTAAATCTGCATCTATTTATTACCGGTGCCTCTTAATCTTGACACAAGTACTCCCTGGGATACATGTCCCACTGGATGCCCATGCTCTAGTACACACTTATATGTCTCACTTTAAACTTTGTCACTCATGTCAGATTTGTGCTTTTTGTCTGTGACCAGGCCAAACACACACAGATTATTTGATGAAAATCTATTTGATGTCAGCATGGATGAAAATCGGATGAAGCACCCACCTTTATTCTTCAAGTCTAATAATCCTCCACCACACCCAAGATCTCCAAACCGCAACAACATGCCCCATCCATACTACGCCAAGTTCATCCGAGACAATGTCAGGTTTCTGAATGAGCCTGTAAATTACATGGGGACGGCCAGCACCGAAAACAAGCAGGTAAGACCAAGGTATGTGTGCAGCAAAAGGGTGACTTCATTTATATAACTGTACTGTATATAGGTAGAAATATTATGGAAACAGACAAATCTCTCAAGTTTATAATAGCTTACAGAGTCATTTTTGTATTCTAAAATGACTCAGCATTCCTTAACCACTGGTCCCCGGACCTCTGAAAGTCTGCAGATCTATTGCTGAGTACATAAGTAAATAAAGGTGGCCTATGAAGTCACTTCTGGCATATGATTGAATGATTCCTCATCAAACATCACTCTGCATCCTGAGTATGGGGTTCATACCTTGTGGGTAAGCAAAATACATACACCTTATTTTATTTTGTCTTTGTATAGGAGAATGAGCTGTGGCATGAGGTGGGTCCCTGGTTCACTCTGAGTAACGTTCACTCTGTACAGTCTCACCTTGATAAAAAGGATCTGAGTATCCCTGAAGCAGAAGTGGATTGCTGGTTTTTCTTTTTATATTTGAGTAAAAGAGCTTGATAAGCATTTGTCCAGATGTGCTGGTCATTTTTGTGCTTTAGTTTTTGCGGTATCCCTGGAGCCCTTTGCGTACATATAGGCGGTAAGGTTTTAGTGCAGAATGGATTTTAAGAAAGCAATAAAAACATGACAAGGGTTCTAACCACTCTATCCTAAACTTAAAAAAATGGCTATTGAGGTGTATTTATAAACAATTCGCAGAGTCATTTCTCCTGTAAAAACTCCATAAACGTTCGTTCTGTGCAAATGGAGGCAAGAACATACAATCTCAGTATATTTTCTTTCCAAATCACATGTGATATAAGGACAATACCTCAATATGGACACTAGATGGTGCTATCTCCATGTTCCTCAGCTCCACCTAGTGGCCCTAATGCTGTATTTTCTAGATATTACTTGGAAAGAAAATATGCTAAGATTGTATGTTTTTGCCTGCATTCGCACAGAATGAAAGTTCATAGAGTTTGGCAGGACAAAATGAGGACATATGTCTGTACAGTGCAATGTGTTCCTACATGCTGCCACGCATAGAATACTATATAAGAAGGAAAAAAAGGAGCATGTACTGCAATGAATTTTAATAACACATTGTTGCACAAGGCGGTGAGCGTTCACACCAGCATACACACGTTATGTGCACAATGCCGCTCGCTTTGTGGTGTGAACGAGCTTTGAGACTGCAAGATCTTCCCATCTCTTGCGGACTACAGTGATGGGATATTTCTTTCAGAATTCCAAGTTCTGTCCAACTTCTGTAACCGTTACAGAGCCAGATGAAGATGGCAGCCCGGCCCCCCTGATGGATTCTCAGTTAAATAATTTGGAATTTTAGCTGCAAGACAAGGATGACATCATTACGGTTTCTTGCAACTTTAGTGATTTATGGCTATCCCAAGTGTTATCCTGCATTTTCTTTCTCCCTAAAATGTAGAAATTGACTGTAAGGCATCAAACACAAAAGTGCTGAGAGTTCTATGGGTTAAATGATTGCAAAGATCAGTTCCAGTAATGATTGTGGTCTGTATTATACTGGGATTTAGCTCAGCAATGGTGCATATCAGTAAGTTGTGACGTAGACAGTATGCTGATTTTGGCATCTGTGTGTGTTCATGGATCCCGGGGTTATAATTACAAAAACATTAACATGAGAGGCACTTGTTCAAATGGAAGTGTCCGCCCCGAGGGCCACACCTATTGTACTTAAAAAACGTTTTGAGCATTCCTGTAAAGAGAAGGACCCATTTTAACTCTGACAAAAAAGAATATTACTTTGCATGCCCAGTGTATATTCTGAGATTGTGTGCTGCGTGTGGTGTATGATCCTTTGTACCCTGTGTGTGGTCTGTCTGTGTTCTGTGTGTGTGTGTGTTCTCTGACTATGAATGGTCTATCTGTGTGGACTGTGTGTGCTCTTTATGTATTATGTACCTTGTTCAAGACCGAGCTGATGAGGGGGCTTTTCTTGCAACTCTCGTCCGACACCCCTGGAAGTGATGACGGGGAGTGTGGGGGCACAGAGTGGCACAAATGCTGGTGTTGTGGGCTGAATCTGTGCAGAGTTGAGGAACATGGACCACATGACTGTAGACCAGTGACATGCGGTATATTCCGTGCTGGGTGAGGCATTCTCCCTGTCCAGCCTCCCTGTCCCTCACTTGCTCGTCACTGGTGAGGCATCAAGATCAATGTCCTTAGTGTTTTTTTAGGTTAGGTTAGCCCGCTGCTGTGTAACCTAACTTAGCTATCAAAAGCTGGATGCAGCGCCGCCTGTAATTAACAGGCAGTGCTCCGTCCATGACAGGTTACACAGCCTGGAGGCTTTCCTAGCTGTGTAACCTGTTACAAGTCGGTCTAAATGGAGAAAAAGCTGTCAGCTTCAGACTTGAAGCTGACAGCTTTTTCCTCCATAATACAAGGTGAGGCTCTGCCTCACCTGCGTACCCTGTCTGTTCGTCCCTGCTGTAGACTGGTGACAGCCAGGCAGCGGAGAGCCAAGACACGAATCAGGAGCAGAATGGGAGTCACAAGCCGAGGTCTATAACAGCCGAGCAGCAAGGTACCAGATCAGAAATCAGGAGGAGTTGGGGGTCACAAGCTAAGGTCCGTAACAGCCGTTCAGGGAGGTACAAGGCAGAAGGTAGAATGCGGATTCCAGTAAACAGGCCAAGGTCACAATGGGCAGGTAGAGATCCAGAGGGAGGTCAGAAGGCAAACCGAACCGTACAAAGGTAACAGGAAGGCAGGTCAGGTCACAGGTAAGCAGGAAACTAGCTGAGGATCACTTAGCAATTTGTGCACATTACATGCCCATTTCTATAGGCCTGCATGCTAATGCACATCTTTATGCTAATTCCTGCGTGCCTCCATGCTAATTCGTGCACATGCCTTCACACTAATTCATGCGCCCATTTATGCTAATTTGTGCATGCCTGCATGCTAATGCATGTTTGCCATGGGCAACGGCCCCTGCAAGTGCTGGTGTTCTAGAATGCGTTGGACTTTTCTTCCAGTATGTGTGTATTCTGAATGTATGTGTGCTGTCTGTGTGTGTGCTTTGATTGTTTTGTGAATGTGTGAGAGGTAGATGGTGCATTACCCCTAATTAAAATAAAGCTGAACGTCTACAAGTACTCTCCTATACTGCTGCCAGGAAACAGGAGATGCTCTTCTGCAAAGGAGAACATGGAAGGGGAGCGCAGAGAAGGACATAGAGCATGCTGATGTAGGGTGTAAGAAGCCTCCAGTGTTCTTCTCTATTTTATATGATATTACATAGTGTGTCATATACTACTCTGTGAAGCAGTAAAATTGTACAGTGAAATGTATTAATTATTCACAATGACTGATGTCAACAGTGCACACAGATATGAATTGTATATAGTTGTAATTAATTTGTATGTAGACGAAAAACATACAACAGAGCAGTTTGTTGAAACGATCCAACATTGGGTTGGAATAGATCTGTTTGTAATTAACCATTATCAAGTGATTACACATTATGATTGAAAACAGATGTTGTATCTTTTAGTTCTCTTTGTTACAGATTTAAAGTGGACCGACTTTAAATGAATTCTAACCTGTTTTAGATACCATGCTGCCCCATACCAATGGCAAATAACAGATGTTAACCTTTCCTGCTCCTTCCGGTGCTGCTCACATGATGGCATGCCAGAGTATTGATACTGTTGTCTCAGCTGCTCAGAGTTTAGGCTAAGCTGCTGATTGGCTGGCTCTTACTGAATGTAACTTTCCTAAAGGTGGCCATACACTCTACAACCATCGCAAGACTTTAGTCTTGCGATGGTTGTAAAGGGATTAAAAAAACGTACGATCTGCCTATCTTGGACAGGCAGATCGCACTCTCGATCATCGCAAGCCCGCCCCCCTGAGGGGCGGGCTTCCGATGACCGCAATGCTGAAGGGCAGTGTGCGCGTGCGCACACCGGCCCGTTCAGCATTTGTCTTCCGAGCACCGTTCTAACCAGCCGAGAATCGTACGATTCCCGGCTGGTTTTCGAACATGCTGGTTCGACAGAAGACGTGCGACCGTACAGTAGAAAAGGTCGCACGTCTCTGTTCACACTGCTCGATTATCGTACGAAAACCTGATCGCATACGATTATCGTACGATAATCGTGCAGTGTATGGGCACCTTAAGCCTCTTTGATTGAGTTTACATGACCAGAGATCCAGCATTAAATCACATGACTAACAATAAAGGAAGTGCAGAGCAACTGTGGTTCTAAGAAAGGTATTTTACAACATCTATTATTACCCATGAGCATAAGACCGGATAATACCTTAAAGAGGATAGAGCTTTAGACAATAAGTATACTTTAATAGACATTTTACTTTCAAAAGGTAAAACATATATTTCAATGATGTTGAATGTGAAATGGGTTACTTTGGCTACTTTGCCTGTTGATTTATCTGATACCTCTGGAACCACTCGATACATCGAAATGACAATCTGACAGGTTTCTATAGTTTTCTCTGTCATCACTCACCATTGCACTTATTGCCAGGTCAGATGTTTATGTTGCTAATGAGCAGTTAGTGTGAGCTAGGCATATCATACAACCAGGAATTCCTCCTACGTCTGAGTTCTTTTCCATGGGATAGAAAAACATATTTTTTGTAGCTTTAGGATAAACACACGGGCGATCATTGCCCATGATCACCCCATGATCAATTGCTTGGGATTAGCAAACATTAGCTGTACTTATGGAACAATAGTATGTAGCATGTTGCAGCCCCAAATCAGATTGATACTATATGCAACCGCATGTGTAGCGACACTAGCACTTAATCACAGGCAAGTTTAGTAGCACAGTTGTACTACAAAGTCACTTGTGTACCAAGCCTAAATGTGACCAGTGAAAGAGCAGTTATCAACCAATGTGCTGGTAAGGAACAATTAAGAACATCCCCAGGTTACATCTCCAACCTTGTCTCTAAGTATCACCCTAACCATCCCCTACACTCCTCCCAAGACCTCCTGCTCTCTAGCTCCCTTGTCAACTCCTCCCATGCTCGCCTCCAGGACTTCTCTAGCATCTCCCCCTTTCTGTGGAACTCTTTACCCCAACCTGTCAGTCTATCTCCCACTCTGACTACCTTTAGGCGATCCCTTAAGACTCATCTCTTCAGGGAAGCTTATCCGACCTGACCACTGAACTATCACTTTCTCAAACAATGTATCCCCACACAGCTATCTCCTCATGTATCACTTGCCCCTCCCTTTTAGATTGTAAGCTCTCACGGGCAGGGCTCTCCGTACCAACTTGTCTTGAATTGTATTGTAATTGTAATGTCTTCCCTATATTGTAAAGCGCTGCGCAAACTGTTGGCGCTATATAAATCCTTTATAATAATAATAATAATAATCTTTTGTGACTGAATAGAATGGTTGTGTGCAGCCCACCAGCTGCATGGCTACATGGCAGCAGTAAATGTATTGGTAATGATGTGGCACCCCACTCTGCAGCATTTACCTGTGAGTCCACGGCTGCCTGATGAGACCCACCTCAAGGGACATGTGCTTGACTTACAGGCAGTGACAACCTGCACTGGATCTCTGAGTGGAGAGTGTGCAGGAGACAATGTCCAAGAGGTGAGTATTGCTGCTTTTTAATCCTATGTTGTGCAGAATTTATTTTCCTGGTGTTAGACTTTACATCTCCTAACTCCTTCACTTGTTTAGTCCTCATTGCTTTATTTCTGGTTCAGTCTCCTTTCAGTTTCCAAGAAACTACAAATCTCAGCATGTTAGTACTTGTAGTCTTTTGTCACCTAAGGAACTACAGGTTACCCATAGGTGGCCTAAAGAGGTTCATCCAAAGGTTTGTATTGGATTGTAATACCGCTGACATAATTATTACCACCATTACTTCCTCATCATATACTGTATCGCTAACATAATGAACATAAATAATGGGCTTGGCATCCATCCAGTAAATACACAGGAAACAAAGGAAGAATCTCATTTCATGTTGTCTCCAGGATTTTTACCAGGGTTAGTTTATTTAGGCGACAGTCCAGCTTCCTGGATCAAACAAAATATGGAGAAACAAAGATTCCACAGGTCTTATCCCATAACAGTTCCAGCAGCTGAGAGCGCATACATCCAGTTGTATGATCAATCCTATAGACTAATTTACATGGTTGTAACTAAAAGTCAAGGGGCCTGGTGTGATAAATCTAGATTGTAGTAAAGATAAATGTTACTTTTTTTTGTAGATAATGTAAGATAAACACAAAGTTGCTAAGTAATAAGGAGTAGAATTCATGGTTTGTCCCTCTGACCTCCTGGCATGGGTTACAGCTTTTCCATCTTTAGTTTACAACTGGCTAATTTAAGAAAAATGGAGCAACCAAAAAATAGGCAACCTGTTGGGTATTGACCTTAGTCATAAATCAGGTCAAATGTGACAGTGAAATGATTCTACCAGGGTTTAGGTAGTTAATTCACAACTTTATTTACCCACATGCCCAGGGCCGGATTTCCCACAAGGCCAACCAAGGCCCGGCCTTGGGGCAGCAGGGTGTAGAGGGGCAGCAGGGGTGTGGAATTCCTATCTCCCGATGCCTTGGACATGCAGTTCCGGGCACTGGGCGGGTAGTTGCTGTCTACATTTAGCACTGCTTTGGGCAAGCAGAGCTAAATGTACAGCGGTGGAAGCCTCTGCTTGTTTTGTACAAGTGATCCCGGCAATGTCGCCAAGATCACTCTTGCATGCAGCCTGCAGGTCTGCCATTCTCCATGGGGGGGGCGGGGTTGGCGGGTAGGGGAACGCACTGCACATGCCCCAAATAAAAACGGTCTGCGTTGCTGCATTACAATCATAATTCTTTATGAAATAAGAACTTTTTTTTACCCAGTAGCAACCAATTAGATTAAAATTTTCACCCTCTGACTATAATTACAATCCTTCTGGCCTATTCAGCTGCGATATGCTGATGAGTAGAAATAACTGATCAAATCATTGAAACTCGATGACCTTAACAAGGAAATATAGCTCTTTGTTATCAGGGTAGTGAAACCCATATCATTGGATATGGGGAATACCCTTTAAAATTCCACCCTATAATTTCCTTTATCCTATGCCAGTCACTAAAGACACTCACTCATGGACTAAAGGTCCAAGTGAGTGGCACAGAGACCACTCTTCAGGATGGATCACAGTTTGTCCTAGTGAACTAGCAAGATGGCCAATGGATACCTTTATAGGTCAACAAAGGCTAAGCGATTTGCATCTAAGGAAAAGTGAATCTCAGCATATGTTAGTTAATTAGATGTAGTGGCCACGCACATGTTATTCCACATTATTCTGGCACTTGCATTGAAAAACAAATTGTGTTTCTCACTAAATGGATTGTAACAAATAGTGCTTAGTGGGGCTCTTCAATGATGTTACAACAGCCAGCAATTAGACTAATTTACATATGCATGCACGTTTAACATAAGAATATGGATTTATGAACTAATATGTTTCTTCATGACTTGTTACTCAATCATCATTCCTTCTACTACACAGACAGAGTGGTGGCCAAGGACTGAGGAAAGTATACCACTTCACAAACCATCTTATGACAGGACAAGCACCCAAAGGAGTAACTTCTGTAAACTGGCCTATTCCAGCCACCAGACACGCCATGGCTGCAACCCACACAAAACACCGCTACGTGGAATAGGTAATATATCCATAAACCATTAAGCTGTTATGGGACAGAAAGACACATTAGAGCCACCCGGGACACAAATTGGCGTTCAGTTGTACCGCAAGCATAAGAATGAACTGCATCTCACTGTTATCATTTTAACTAGCACAACGTGTTTCGATATTGTATACACTTTTTTGTGTATGTGCAAAACAAGCTGATACACTTTATTGACCACAGTCCATCATACAGAACTGCAACAAAGTATTTTCAGCATAGCGACACAATTGTTGTAGACTGGTTGCGGTATATTTACCATGTACTGTTGCTAGAACATCCCCTAGTTCAGTGTTCCCCAACCCCCGGTCCGCGGATCAAATGGTACCGGGCCGCACAGTCTCAGTGCGGTCCGGTCATGCAATATATGGCAGTGCACGGTCCCGGTGTTCGAACACCGGGGCCCCACACTGCCGACGGGCTTCACAGTGAGGGGGCGGGTCCTGTGACTCACCTCCCCTCCTGGCCGCGTCTATAGTAACAGGCGGCGGGAGGGGAGGTGAGTCACAGGAGACGTGAGTCACAGGAGAAAAACCCTGTTGGTCCAATCTGCAAAAGCTTTAATATACGCTGGTAATATTGAAGCTTCTTAAACTTGAGCTTTTCAGATCGTGTTTCTGTCCTCATTCACACTTGAGCGTCAGTGTCTTGGGAAGTGTTTTGAAAAGATTGCACGTATATGAACACTTTTTTGTGTTTTCATGCTTGAGTGCTTTTGTTTTAGTCAATAGAAAGCTAGTTATTAGAAGAAGACAGTTGTTAGGTTCGAAAAAGGCACTCCCAATGAAGTCCATTGGGGCCAGAAACGCACAATCATGACTCGAAAAAGCTCCCGTCATTTTTCCAAGCATTAAGTGACAGCACATTAGAATAACATTAAAATCTGAGTGTTGAGCGTTGAAACTGGAAATGGGGTAGAAAAAAAGTGTTTGTACACAGTTCTGGATCCAGCAAAAATATTCTTTCTTAATTCCAAGCATAAGACCAGACATAGCAGTCCTGTTAATGGGTTTCAGCCAAAAGAGGCTATTATTATTATTATTATTACCGTATACAGAATTTATATAGCGCCAACAGTTTGCAAGGAAGACTTTACAATCACAATACAATTCAAGACAAGTTGGTAAGGAGGGCCCTGCCCCTGAGAGGTTACAATCTAAAAGGGAGGGGGAAGTGATACATGAGGAGGTAGCTGTGTGGGGATGAATTGTTTGAGAACGTGATGATTTCCATAATCATAGGTAAAGCAGGCACTCTTACTGAAGTCCATTGGGGCTAAAATGCACGTTCATGGCCCAAAGAAATTACTATAATTTTTCCAGGCGTTAAGCAACAGGACATCACTCAGATGTGAACAGGAACAATAGAATAACATGGAAATTTGAGTGTCGAGTGTTGAGTATTTAGCTTGGTAGCATCTATGATTAAAGGAGAACTATGAGGTGAGTGCTTTTCACTCATCCTCATAGTTCTAGCCAACCTGTGACAATGAAACTGTCACAGGTCGGCTCAGTAGATCGGGAAGTGAGCGAGCACATACCGGCGTTCGCTCACTTCTCGATCCTGTCACGGCTCTCTGCCGTGACAGGTGAGGGACTGGATTCCCCACTCCGATCCTCCAGTGCTGACTGGCGGAACGGACGGGGGAGGGGGAGGCCTCTAGATAGGCAGAGCCAGCTGTCACTCACGCAGCTGGGCGGATCCAGACATAATTGTCGGGATCCGCTTCAGCTGCGGCGTCTCAGTATACTGAGCCTAGGGTGACGAGAGGACGCTAGTTTGTGTCCTCCCGTTACCCTAAGGAGAACTATGTCTTTGCACACTCCTAGAATGAATTGGCTATTTCTTATACTCAGTGGCGTAACTAGAACCTTCAGGACCCGGGTGCAAGAAACCATGAAGGGCCAACCCCCCCATGGCACCGCATGGTTAACAGGAAGGCTCCCGAGGTCCCCAGCAAGCGCGGGACGTCAGGCAGCCGCCTCAGTTTAAAAATTTAGTGCTGATGTTCTATGGAGAACGCCAACCCAGTATCTGCATTTGCGCAGAGACGGGATTAACGAGGAAACTGGCATTTTTTTTTACAACGTATTCGTTTGTAATGGTTAATTGTGACCGTTAATAATATGCTGTCCATGGCAGTAAATGATGGATGGCATATTATTAATGGTCACAATTAACAATTTCAACAAAATACTTTGTCAATAAATCAGTGTTTCCTTGATAATACCGGTCTGTGCACAAGCGCAGTTGCTGAGGTAGGCGTTCTCGACAGAACACTGGTATCTGTGTTTAGTATCGGGGCATTTTCACGAGTATGAGTATGAGCAGCGAGGGAGAAGAGCCCCCCCGTGATTGTGCCACTCCTTCCCTGCCGCTCTCCCACCCGCAGAATGTATGGGCGGCTGTGCGACATTTTCACAAGTACTCATACTCATACTCGTGAAAATGCCCTGATACTAAACACAGATACCAGTGTTCTGTCGAGAACGCCGACCTCAGCAACTGCGCTTGTGCACAGACCGGTATTATCAAGGAAACACTGATTTATTGACAAAGTATTTTGTTGAAATTGTTAATTGTGACCATTAATAATATGCCATCCATCATTTACTGCCATGGACAGCATATTATTAACGGTCACAATTAACCATTACAAACGAATACTTTGAAAAAAAAATGCTAAGAGGAGAGGGTCCTCACAAAGCAGAATGTGCTGCCCGCCGGTGCCTGCAGCACATTCTGCGGGACTAGGGACAGCCTCTCCTGCTCTGTCGCACAGCCGCCCATACATTCTGCGGGTGGGAGAGCGGCAGGGAAGGAGCGGCACAATCACGGGGGGGGCTCTTCTCCCTCGCTGCCCCCCCTAACAGGCGGAACGCCAGGCGACCGCTGTGACCCTAGTAGTTATACTACTGTCTAATGTCTGTAGGCAGCCATGGGCCTCATATTTTCATAAGATGGCCCTCTCAGAAATATGTTTACTTTGCGACATATATTTGTGTTTATTGTCCCTGTTATATCACTAAAAAAATAACAATTCACAGAAAGGTGTATGTACAAAACAAAAGACCCCTCTGTCATATTTCAACTACTTTGAAAGGTTTTAGTCATTGGGTTTATAACCTGGATAGAGAAAAACAAATCTACATTTTTAAATGTCTTGAAATAAAGAGTTTATTTTTACCCCAGGCTGTGAAAATCTAAAGCATATAGTAACCAATGTGTTTATTAAAATAAATATTATATATATATTTTCACTCTGGAGTGTGTTCAGTCTCCTTTTATGAACAGCTGTCAAGGAAAAGGTTCCATGTTTTTAACTTTAACACCTGAAACGCCTTGTAGAACCTAACATGCAGTACAGAAGGGGAGTTGGCACTTCTCTGTAGCAGTGAGGGGGTTAAATTGAAGAACTCAGCAGAAGGAATAAAAAATGTGCCTTCCAAACTCAAATATCATCTGACATCTGATACGTGGGTGTCTCTCTATTGGACAAAATAACAGACTTCATTCCTATATTCTGACATTTCTCTGGTGCTTTCACATTTTGTATATTTTATAAGCCATAGGGATAAATCTATATACACATGTAATGGAATAGATTGTAAATCTAATGCTGGCCATACACATAACGATATACAAATGATCAATCATACATTTGCCGACTTCAAACAATCTTTTGCTTGGAAACAATCTTTTAACACATCAAAGAAAAGACTGATTTGATCAAAATTGTGCTTTTTAGTGAAAATGATGGTTTATTGATCAAATTTTCCCTCTAGTGCAATCAGTTTGTTATATTGAGTGTAATTGTTGTTACATGTGTGGCCAGATATAAGTATTTCATGTTCTCGGACTGGGTGCTTATACAATCACAGACGACGAGAGAGCAGTCATTTTTCTTTTACCTTATAGTAACCAGACCCTGCTTGCTTGGTTTACTGCGTATTGCAGATTTCCAACGCAAATATGCAATACGCAGTAAACTGACTGATGAAAAGGAGAAGTCCAGACCAAATTTCTTTTTGGATAGAGTGAAGTAGGGTTTCAAACTTCATGAGGTTTTACTGCAGGGAAGACTTTCTCTCACTTCCTTTTCCAAAGCAAGTGATCATGGCCATAACTACAGATCACAGGACCAAATAGCAAAAATGTGATGGGGGCCCCACTAAAGACCTCTCTCGGAGCTGTAACAATGCCTAGATCCCAAAGATTCCCCTTGTGCATCCGAATTCATCTATACACTGTAGACTTTAACACCAATCCTTAATGGTACAGTAATGTATTATCTTCACATGTTATATATTTAATTTGCCTTAACACCTAATGGGGCCTCCTTCCAGTAATGTGCCGTGCCTTCTGTGCTGGGTGAGGCATCCCCCAGCCTGCCGAAGCTCCGCCCCAGTCCTGCCAAGGCTTCGCCCCCATACTGCCGAAGCCCGGACCCCCAGTTCGGTAGCCAAACTGTGTGAGGAGGAGGAAGGGAGGATACAGGCAGGGGTCTCCCTGTCCCTCACTTGCTCGTCACTGTTGAGGCATCGAGATCGATGTCCTCACTGTTTTTTTTTGATTGGACAGCTTGGACCAATGGCGCTTTACCATTCGTCCAAGCCATCCACAGAGCTCACGCCTCTAACACAGAGTAGAGGCTGTGACAGCTCTTGCCTCACCAAGTTAGGTTACAAAAGCACCGGGGAAACACGCTGCTGTGTAACCTAACTACCTGTCAAAAGCTGGATGCAGCGCTGCCTGTAATTAACAGACAGCACTCCGTCCATGACCGGTTATACAGCGGGGAGGCTTTCCCTGCTGTGTAACCTGTAACAAGCCGATCTGAATGGAGAAAAAGCTGTCAACTTCAGACTTGAAGCTGACACCTTTTTCTTCATAATACTAGGTGAGGCTCGGCCTCACCTGCCTCCCCTGACCGCACGTCCCTGCCTCCTTCCAGCCCCAGGCCCCATGCAGTCACC